GAGGCTTTTGGTTGCTGAGAAGAAGTTGTTTTTAACATATTTGACCCGTGACCTAGAAAGTGGGTCGAGGTCATTTATTTGAACAAACTTGGTAGCCCTTCCTCCAAGCATCCAACAGGATTCAAGTTGCTAGACAATGTTATCTGTCATACGAGTTCTACCACTTAATTCCTTGCTAATCATAATTAGTATTCTCCACTCAGATGTCTTAGTGCTTTCTTCATGGATATTTTTAACAACAGGACCTAACAATGAAATTTAAGAAGAAACAATCCAGTACTTTTTTCAGAAATATCGCCATAACAAACTTTCACTTTCAAAATCTAAGATGGCCGCTTGTCAGCCATCTTGATTTCAAATCAGTCCAAAAAAGGGACAATGCACAACTAGGGACCAAGGGGAACATGCATATGAAATTTGAGAAAGATCCATCCATTACTCTCCCAGAAATAATGGTAACAAACTTTTACTTTCAAAATCCAAGATGGCCACTTGTCGGCCATGTTGATTTTGGATAAGTCCAAAAAGATGTACAATGCACAACTAGGGACTAATGGGAACCTGCATATGAAATTTGAGAAAGATCCATCCAGTAATTTCCCAGAAATAGCAGTAACAAGAATAGTTTACAGACGGATGGACCCACGACAGATGGACGGAGGACATTTGGATGCAGGGAGATTTGAATGATGGTGGGCTAAAAATGTGGACAGACGGACAGACAGTGATTACTAAAGGGCACCCACACTTTTGTGCGGGGCCCAAATAAAACATAATCAGAAGCATTTTTCATTTGGATATTATACATGTAGTGTCACACAAAATTGCAGTAATTTTCTCGCTCTCACTTTCATACTCCGTTTCTCTCACACCTGTTCTCTTAAACTTTTCATTCCTCTTCTCTCTCTGTTCCCGGACTTCTTCGCATACTTCCACTAACCTGACTCTCATACAAATCTAAAAATCTAGTCATTAATGCACATTTCTCATCATGTCTCTCTCTCATATTTCTTTCTTGCACCCCCATTCTTTCCTTTCTCATCTCTTTAATGACATCTAGCATGCTTTCTCTCCTTCTTTTCTTTCCCATTTTTTTCCCTTTCTCCCCTGCATCGCTTCCACACTCAATCACTCTCACCGGATTTACAGTTGGTTTTCCTCCCACACAATAATCCAACTCTTTTTCATATATAAAATCTTTTCGCCTGTTTCCAGATTTGTTGTTGTGTGACTTTACGTCCTTGTACTGATTCAGCAGCTTGGAAAATTTTCCTTTTGCTTGCTCCCATGTTATTGTAATTCCACCACTGGCCCCCATATCTGCTGCTATATCCTTCCAACAGACAGACAATGCCATACCATAATACATCCTGTCATACGCAGGGCATATAAGAACAGGTATGTAGAGGAACAGATTGATAAAGATGATTCAAAACTTTCTTGGTTATCAACATGATCTGGTCAGGAAATTTTGTTTCCTTGAATGAAACCATGCTTATAATTATTGTTGTAAATCATGTCTTCATGTTGGCATATTACATTTTACACATGAATCAAGCAAAGTAATAGTGGGTGACATCGATGAAGTAGAAGAAGTTTATGATGGCACACATAAATAACAGCAATTACCTTAAACATTATAAAGAGTTCATGTAAAGCTTCATCATTAATGCTGAACAAACATCCTATTAGATGTAATAAGAACACAGCATGCTAAGAAAAATGAAATCAAGAGGCCAAATAAGCCTTAACGTTCATCTGGCAAAAAACAGAAGATTTGAATATTTTGAACTCATTTCATCTTCATTAATGATCAAAATAATTTGCTTGGTAGATGTCTAATATACCATATTGACAATAGACCTAATATGAAGTTCAGAGTTTGTTTCTTTGTTTATTGTAATGATTTTATTAAGAAGTTTCTTCAAAGTTTCATACACATTTGACCCCTGTGACCTTGAGAGTGGGTCAAGGTAATTCATTTCAAAAACTTTAAAAACCTTATATCCAAGCATGCTACAGGCCTACTATGAACATTCTTGGCCTTGGTTAGTCAGAAGAAGTTTCTTAAATGTTTTATACACATTTGATTCCTGTGACCTTAAAGGAGGGTCGAGGTCATTTATTTCAACAAAATTTGAACATCTTCATCCAAGCATGATACAGGCCTGGTATCAGTACCCTGAACCTTCTGATTATTCAAAAGATTCTTAAAGGTTTTAAACACATTTGACCCCTATGACCTTGCAAAGGGGTCAAGGTCATTCATTTCCAAATACTTTGTAGACCGTCATCCCAGCATGCTACAGGCCAAATATCAGTACCCGGGGCCTTCTGGTTAGTCAGAAGAAGTTTGTTAAAGATTTTAAGACTTTTGACCCCTGTGACCTTGGATGAGGGTCAAGGTCATTCATTTTCACAAACTTGGTAGCCCTTCATCCAAGCATACTACTGGCCAAATATGAGTACCCTAGGCCTTACGGTTATTGAGTTGTTTGAATCAAAATTTTAGGCACAGCAGATGGCGGACTGCACAAGGCGGACAACAACGGACAAAGCATGATGACTATAGGTCATCAGAACATTCGGGTCAGATGACCTAAAGATGTGCGCTTAAAAAACTAGTTCTATATGTGTTGAAATTTCCCACTTGTTAGCATATGTGATTTCAGGTGGAAGTAGTTGATGCACAATTGCACATAAGGCAGCCACATATATATATATATGTCAAGTATGAAGTTTCAGTATGAGAAAGTGTTAGTAACTGTAAATAATCCTAACAAGCTATGAAACAATTATGGCCCTCTGTGAAGGGATATATCCCGACACAGAGGGCCATAAACATTTTATTATACCGAAACAAACAACATTTTCAGCAATTGGCGCCCACCATTTGAGGATCTGCTTTCAGTTCTTGAAGATTTGTTTATTTTTTGTTTGTTTGTTACAAGTGTTGTAAATATTCATGAACTGGTCTTCATTGAATGTACTCAATGATGGCACAAGATATTTTTATTAAGCACCTATTAGCAAATATCATTTGAAAAAGATCCCAAAGTATTATTAGATAGCAGTCAGTTACAGGTGGATAATGGACAATATGCTTGTGCTGTATTACTGTCGACATCCAAGATGGCTGCCTGTGCGCCACCTTGATTTCAAATCAGTCCAAAAAAGGTACAATGCACAACTAGGGACCAAGGGAAACCAATATCTATGAAATATCAGAAGGATCCATCCAGTACTTCCTCAGATATAGCAGTAACAAGATTTTACTCTCAAAATCCAAGATGGCTGCCTGTCATCCATCTTGATTTCGGATCAGTCCAATAAGGTATAATGCACAACTTGGAACTAAAGGGAACCTGCATATGAAATTTGAGAAAGATCCATCCAGTACTTTCCAAGAAATAGCGGTAACAAACTTTTACATCCAAAATCCAAGATGGCTGCCTGTCGGCCATCTTGAATTCGAATCAGTCCAAAAAAGGTACAATGCACAACTAGGGACCAAGGGGAAACTGCATATGGAATTTGAGAAAGATCCATCCAGCACTTTCCAAGAAATAGCAGTAACAAACTTTTACATCCAAAATCCAAGATGGCCACCTGTCGGCCATCTTGAATTCGAATCAGTCCAAAAAAGGTACAATGCACAACTAGGGACTATGGGGAAACTGCATATGAAATTTGAGAAAGATCCATCTAGTACTTTCTAAGAAATAGCAGTAACAAACTTTTACTTCCAAAATCCAAAATTGCTGCCTGTCGGCCATCTTGAATTCGAATCAGTCCAAAAAAGGTACAATGCACAACTAGGGACCAAGGGGAAACTGCATATGAAATTTGAGGAAGATCCATCTAGTACTTTCTCAGAAATAGCAGTAACAAACTTTTACTTCCAAAATCCAAGATGGCCATCTGTCGGCCATCTTGAATGCGAATCAGTCCAAAAAAGGTACAATGCACAACTAGGGACCAAAGGGAACCTGCATATGAAATTTGAGAAAGATCCATCCAGCACTTTTCCAGAAATAGCGGTAACAAGAATTGTTTATGGACGGATGGACGGACGGACCACGGACGCAGGGCGATTTGAATAACCCACGATCTATTTTAGATGGTGGGCTAATAATAATTTCAATGAAAAAAACAATTCAAACAGTAAAAAAAGTGAAGTAGCTCTACTATTATGCAGTCGCAATCATCTCCGGCATTCTGGAAGCCCCCGAAGGGTTATTCCCCCGCCGTTATTTCCCTAAGGTTATTGCCCGCTGCCATGGTTGCAATGTTATGTCTGGGGTTATTCACCGCCAGCGACAATTTCAATGGGATATTCGATATATAACATGTCAGATGACCACTTTTCCACCAATGAAAACATTTCTAATGAAAGTGAGGTATAATAATACATATTATATGCAGCTCATAGTCAAGGTCATAGTAACCTACTTCTGGTATGTGACTGACCATCACACAAAGTTGTATTTCGGGTGTCAAGAAGTTCCAGTATGAAACAGTTTGTAGGTTAAAGCCAGAATAACAAGTAGCAGAAGGATGGAAGGACAGACAAACAGATGGAATCAACAGAACCATTAAACAATCTGTCCCAGTATAGGACTAGCTGTCATCAATATAAATGTTGGGACGCAAAATGTGATGTACTGATATAATATAGAAACATTGGAATTTTGAGAGCATATGCTTTATCAGGTTGTGGAAACCCTTGGTTTTTGAAACAATCTTGGTCATGCGAGATTCTCCCACATTATAATGACAAAATTAGATCTTTACAATGCAGGAGTATCTCACTCTCAAGACTGGGCTGCAAACACAAGTGTTTCCCCAACCAGATAAAAAGGTATATTTTAAGGGCAACATTTTTCTGGCCCAAAATAAAATGCCTTTATAAACAGGTTTGACTGAACATAAAAACCTCTATAATTCAGTACATCACTTAAATGCAAAAGAAAAAGATTTTGTCCCTAATGATAATGTACCTGCTCCTAACATTGGTTCTGTTGCTGGTGGTGTCAACAAGGCAGTGTGGGATGGAGAGAGCGGCATGGATTCTACAGACCAGACGAGGAGGGCAATGCAGTGGCAGTAGCAGACAATGGCAATACAGCTGAAGTGGCAGATGGAAGTAGCAAGGCAGTTGATTCAGTTGGTGGCAAGGCAGTGGCCAATGGCAACCATACTTTGAGGCAGGTCGTGCCAGTGATGGTGAGGACACAGATGGCTGTTTATCTGAAATAAAAACTGGTGTCATCTTCTGTAAATCAACAGTAGGTGGGAGTGCTAATGGCAAAATTCCCTCATCATATGACCTACAAAGAAAAATGGAAATTGTCTAGAAACAAACTAATGTCTTTTCATTTAGGTTCCAAACACTCCACAGTATGAAAATATGATAATATGATTTGGAATGCAATTGTTTATTTTCTAAGGCATTTTAACTTACGTGTCTGATAACAGTCTAGTGTTTTTACTTCCATTCTGAGTCTTATTTGCTTGCTAAATACAAAAGATACATATCGTCATGCCATGCTTCCAACAGTACTGTAAACCATGTGCTTTTCATATAATTTTATGTGTTGTGGAAATTATGCCCCTTGAAAAAATATGTCTGAATGCATTAGTAGGGTTGTTTTACAAACTACTTTTTTTATGGTAATTGAAAGATAATACTGAACAACTTAACAAGCATATCAATCTTTACATAGCAACATTTTGGTACTGGTACTACCATTTTGGTTTTATTTTAAAAGAAATATGTTTATAATGTCACCTATTTGCTAGGTGGAATGTTTAATCTGCAATTCGTTATTTTGTTACCAGGAAAAAATATTACAAAACATTTTATAACATGAAGTTAGTTGTAATATAATAATTTTCTTTAAAATCAAAGTTTAATTCTAGGTAAATGTGTGTTTCTTTATCAGTTTTGGCCATGTAGTAACTTATAACACTTCATTTAAATCAATCTATAGAATATTAATATTTTATCATGCAAAGAGAATGGTTCATATAATATGAACAATAAATGCCAGGTGCGCTTCGTGAAGTTGGGACAGTTTACTTGAGGGGCTTACTTTGTACTTACGCCTCTCTGACCTACATGTAAAGATCACGCATACCTATAGGCTAACAGCAGACGACAATTGTTGAGATATTTTACTTCGTAATATATCAGAAAATATTTGCAGAAAAGCTATTATCTACAATATGACTGATCATTTACAGTTTAGAAACATAACGTTTGTTCGAAATTGACCGGGCAAAAAGGAACAGGTGAGGAATATTCGGGTAGCTATGCGGCCGACATCGTCGAAAGAGCGTACCTGCCAACGATCTGATCAAAAGGCAATCTTCATTTTAAAACTAAAAAGACGCACAGGTGATCAAAACATGACGGTAGTAGACAGCACATCGTTACATTGTATGTCAGCATTCGATTGTAGGCTTAACATTTCTCTACATACAGACTACAGTAGTGATAGGAAAACGTCAGTTAGTACATAAGCCTCGACAATGGAAGATTTGAAGCAATCAAGGTATTGGCTATAGCCATACATGTATTTAAATTTTAGTTTAGTTGATACTTATCTCTTCTGCATCTTCAAAATGTCGGCATATGTTGTATCAAACACATTAAAATGTTTTAGCTTTATGTAAACCCTTCGTCTCTTCCATCTGTCAGCCATATTGGGTTACTCTAAACCGAGGCTAGACCATCCTGGACCCCTCAAATCTGACGTGTAGATTTGCCGCGACTGAGCCTCGGTCCCGATCTGACCATGGCGTTCGCACTGGCGGTTGGAGCATCTCATACGTCTAATGGATCGGAATGTTACCCACTCAAATCCTATATTTATCGACTACTTTATCCTATTCCTCGTGTTATCTAAAATGACCTATAAATAGATAGGGATGTTTTGTTATCTATTTTTTCGTATAGAAGAAGTTCAGATATGAATACCACTCAGTGTAGATTTGAAGAAAAGATGAAATAATTTATGTAAAGTTCATTACGACTGAGGAATCAGCCTGAGTCGCGCGGTCGTCTGCTAACTGATCAATTATCAGTGATCGTTGTATGAGGAGATCAGGTAGGGTAGTATGGTAATCAGAATTTACAGCACGACGTATACAAAACACATAGAGAATGAGATGCAAATTATATCATTTTTTTTGTAATTCATTGTTTTATTCAATACAATGACAGGTACATAATATAACAGTAGTATATACATATGAGAAGCGCACCTCCACACTAACATACATTTTCACGTCCATGAATGCATGAAAACATGACCACACACATACAGATGTACATCAAGAGAATACTTGCATGTATACACATTACATGTACAAGTAATACGTACATGCGAACAGCCATACCCCATACACCTAATAGACCAGTTAACCATGTAAACAAGGACATGTATTATGCATCATATACAGACACGCACTCACACCTACAAGTTTTCATACCTACAACCACACCTAGAAATATGATATGTAAACTACAGGTGTATAAATATTGTGACAAATAGCATTGATTTAGGGCACGCGTAGTTGAAATCGGTTCACTTCAACTTCAAATACGACTAGGACACGTGTATACAGATATAGTTAAAACGTTGTATTCTGTATGTTTAAAATCATCATAAGTACAGCCCTGAATACGAACACCACAATAAATATCAGCATTCACTCACGCATGTATGCTCGTACATCATTCACACCACATCATCATAAGTTCGTGACGATATCAAAATTTACAAACCACTTCTAAAGTAGTTAATTAGACATATTCAAAGTTGTAATGTTGTTATGGAGAGCTGTTGTTGTGAGGAGGTATGGAAGTCTTACTGTACAATGTATTGTTTTTCTTTGCTTTTTTAGAAGAAAGTGAAAGAATAAATTAGAATAAGAGAGAAAATGATAGGGTATTATTCTATATTAATTTTGAGATACTAATTTTAGCGAAGAGCTTCCGCAACACAGTGAAATAATCAAATACATATAGAGCAAAGCAACTGTGTTGCAATGTATCGAAAAAAATGTAGGAAAAGTATGAAATTAATCCAACAGTTCTCGAATAATGATAATTCAGATCCATTGTAAACAACACTCCAGTTAGTCAGAACGATTACTCCGCAGTTTGTCTTCTTTGGCTTAACAAGTTTTTTTATGATTGATCTCACAATCAATTATAAGCGTTACGCTGTCCCTTGTACTTTCCAATGTCCTATCTAAAAACACAATACTCATGCCAAAATATTAATATTTCGCCAGTCAGAAATAATTACACGTAATGGTCCACCACAGTTCACGACAAGAATTAATTCAATAATTCGTGAACGTTTAACAATCCAACAGTTCACGACCTTTCTTAATGCAACGGCATTTCAGTTATTAATCCAAAGGTTCACACAGTAAAAGACTAAAACAGTTCATGACACTTAGTAATCCACAACGGTTCACGACAGCATCCTTAGTCGAAATTCTCTATGCCAGTTAGATCTGGCCCGCTTAGTTAAGTCCTGTGTCAATCTGGTGCTCACGCCATCAACCGCAAAAACTTTTGAACCATTATCGTCTGGTTCCTTTTGGTTTGTGTGTCCAAAACTTGATCTACAGTACGGACAATTATCATTAGATAGTTTCCTATAACAGTCGTCACATAAGGAGTGGTTACATACGTCACATTCACCAAAGAAAGTATCAAGCTTTGTCTCCAAGCATATGTAGCAATCCTCAATCCACAATTTCTCCCATGAACACATGGTTGTTCTGGCAGGGAGCTCCAACAGTGTCACAGTCATACATGTACAACATCTACAGAACTGGTACCTCCCAGTTTTACAAGGAACCTTATCAGCTCATTACCGCAGATGAAGGATGGTAACACCCTATCCCGAAGCGGTAACCCCGCCTCCCGTTTCCAAACGGCATCATCCCAAGTCATCGCCATGACTCTCCAGCTACGATATCCACTATGTCCCGAATCCCCAGGTGGGCACTGCAGCGCCTGTACCTCTGCAGCCCATGGTATATCTCATTACGCTGTGACAGTTCCTGTTACATTGTTGGGACACTTTGCTGGGCTTCTCATCAACCCTACATGTGACACTTCTCATTTTTACGAAAGGTGAAGCCCAACCTTATATGGGACAGCTCTCATTCTTGTGAATGGTGAAAATTTCTGGCGAAATACACAATATCCCGTTCGAATCCTGGTCAGGCGGTACCAAAAATAAACACCTCTGCAGTCCATAGTACAAAAGATAGTTCCTAATCAACATACAGCAGCATGTCGTGGCACCAAAAATAAATACCTGTGTAAGGCAGACAAACACCTGCCCATCCATATCAAAGAGTTCCATACTAACTTCTGCTGGCTATTGTCTTAGTATAAATAATACCCAAATACTTAATTTCAGCCTAGTCCCTATTGGACAACAATAACCCAGCCCCGGAGCATCTAATTAGGAAGGCACGTGCAACTAGGAGTAACCGTTATCAACTTCCCATCTTTGATATACTTTATACTTTGTTTCTTATCTTGTTTACCTACAAATACGTTCGCCAGCGCGAGACATACAAAAGAGAGCATCTATCTGTCCTGATCAATCATACTGGCGATATTCTGCCACGGTGCTTCAACACTGGGGTACACATCCCGCCCGTTATCAGGCGTGCATCACTACCTGTCACTCACGGGATTTTTCCTCGGTCCAGCATTGACCGACTTTTGACCTGATGTACTTTAAACTAAGATGCTGCTCTCTACGATACACACCATACCAAAGTTACCATTAAACCCATTTTTTACTCATTTTGTTACACATAACATCTGCAAAAATTGTCTCCCTTTCTCTACTACAAAAATTACAGTTAGGGTTGTTTAAAATACCGATCTTGTATGCATACAGGTTGGTTGTTAAAATAAAGTGATTAATCCTGAATTGTAACTAACGATGTCTAGTGTTTTGAGTTGATCTAAAAGGTATACTGTATATTTTTGCCCCATTTCTCTTAACTAAAATATAAAAAAATACTTCCCCATTTGTGTTGACCCGTAATGTTTACATCATTTTTAATAAGTAGTCGATAGAAGTCTCGTGATCCTTTTTTTTTTTAAAAAATCAATTCAAGACTCGAGGGGATAGAGGGCTACATCAACAATCCACTTAGAGGGATAACGGGCCTCAAGTATTTCTTTATACTATGGATTACTCCACAGGACTGTAAATAATTAGCTACTAAACCATATACATGACAAAATTCATTAAAATCATAAAATAGAACAGTGCAAACAACTCTTTTCTACATTGGTTAGAAAGCGGGTTTTGATCATTGTTAAATTTGTTATAAAATCTCAAGTTTACCCCTAAATATGTAAATTTATTAACACAAATAATATCTCTGCCTTTATAAGTCCATTTCTTGTAACAATGTACAGTCCCCCTCTTCCCCTCCCCCTTTCCGAAAACAACAACTTTCGTATTTTCAATATTCACAGTGAGCTTCCATTTTTCAGCTTATCTTTCTAAATTATTAAACAGATCTAGTAATCCCTGAACAGTCTTTGAAATAATACCATATCGTCAGCATAAAGAATAAGGATAAAAACTTCAGTCCTGAAACCAATAATGCGAGTCACAATGTGTTATAGAAAAATGTTTCAAAATTGTTGAAATACGAAGAGTGTATCGATGACAGAATTTACACCTGGAAGAGACCGAACCTCGTTATTGAAGAATCATTTGAGATTTATACATGATTTCACTTTTCATATAAAGACTTAGTTGAATTTAAAAGTTTTCATAGTATTCCTAATTTTCTTAGTTTAAACCGCTCATTAGCACGATCAACACGGTCAAACACTTTTTGGAAATCA